AAGAGCTCTATCTATGATTGATGACAATCTTCGTATGTTATTTTCTTGTTAGAATCATTTGTCAACAAGTAATCTCAAAAATGAAGGACGTGTAACCAGTATTGGTAATCGAACACAGAAAGTTTATTTACTTTTACTCGTTTCACTACGAACGATTAGACGATACTTCGGAATTTCTCTATCGTTCCAAGCCCATAGATCAGTTATTGTTAAAGGTGCAATACAACAGTTTGTGACAGGATCAAAAAGTACTATTGCTGTGTCATCAGGAAGCCCAAAATTAATTTTGACAACATGAAGGAGATTTTCATATGGAAGTTTTTTATGCACTTTGAACGATTTTTCATTTTTCTTATATTCAAAAGTGATTATTTTCGATTGATCATGCATGGTTTCTAAATAAAGAAAGACAAATCATTAAGAGAGAAATATCGAGAATCAATGTAAGAAAGGTAAAAACCATCGATCAACATGTATTTATGATAATGTGCTTATGCTCGAAGTAGAATTCAACAGACAAACATTACTAACAACTTACCCATCTGAACAAGATATTGATACAATAATCAAACTTTCGTTTGTAAAAGATGTATTTATATTGGAATTTGCGAAAATGAGGCAAATATTATCCTTTTTTGTTAAATAACAACTGGGATTGGATTAGAAAATCGATAAATTACAAAACACGATTAATAGATGGTGCTACAGACCAGATCTAACATGATGTCCGCTACGTCAAATGCAAATATTTTCAAAACGCATAAATTTACGAGAAATCTTCGGACGTGGGTGCAGTTTTTCTGTTCATCCGCAAACCCAAATATTCACACATCTCACAACCACATTCCAATCATGATCAGTTATACCATTCGCTTCTTGCTTCTAGCTTGATGACAAATGTGTGCAATGCACCACTAATTAGAGTAGCCTTTCACTAGAAAAAATACCCTTTAATATTTCACCCATAAAACAGAGATTAACGAAGACTCTAGACTTTTATATTTCTATTTCCGTTGATTTATTTGCTTAATTTTGTTCGATCCTACATTTGATGTAAGATATCAGCATTAATTACGATTGTAGCCATGTACGCGATTAACATAGCTTCATCGAAATTTTTCTCGTTGTAACACGGTGCAAAACAAAGCATTTATGTATTCATTCACTTATTTTCTTTAATAGAATTCTCGACGTACGAATAAGAAACTGTCACTTTCTCTCACGATAACCCCAAGAAATGAATAGTAGAAATCATGCGTGCAAAATGCGAGGATAACATTTCAAGACCAACTCTCTGTCATTCGTTTTTTAATCTTCACTAGAACGTTTCATTTTCTTATGTTACATCTGAATGAATTAAATTCTGAGCTGACATCAATTGATTTAAATAATAACTACTGATTTCTCTACAACGATCATGCACTTCTTTCTGAAAATCCTATTTATTGATACTTTAAACACTTGTTCATATTGTTATAAATCCTTGTTCTTGGATTTTCTCGTCTTATACGAACTTTTATATAATAAATAGACGGAACTAAAATTTATCATCCTATCGTTCTTCTTTTTATGTTACAGTATTTAGTTTGGAATTATTAGACAAAAATTTACGAGTCATATATATTTTGAAAAGCAGAAAAATTTTCTGGAATTTTCTGGAAAATTTTCCTTTTACTATCTATTCATCAAATACATACATGATGATCACCGTAGATGTGATCAGCTGCGCTGAATATGTGATTTATTCACACAAAAATGTTGAATAAATCCTTATTGTATAGAGAAATAAACATTTATATTTTATAACATTCTTAGGTTTACTTTCTTTTAATCTGAAATTCTGCACTTTTCATCCTATAGAAGACATTCTGGGCTATCAAGTTACATATTTTTTCAAATTAAGAACGATGTGTTAGAGATAAGCAAGGGGGTGATGAAATAAGATAGAAGTAGTTTCTGTTGGAGTGATTTAAACTATGCCACCTAGATTGTCTTCTAAATTCGAATTATTTATCTTGTGGTAATTCAATCAGTTCGCTAGAATTTTGATAATTCTCTGTTTAATTTTTTTTCACAATAGACTTTTTGTAAGTTTCTCTTTACATTAATAGAGCATACTTTCAGCTAGTTGTGATTCAAAAAAGTATTTTTCCATATTTCAAAAATTAATAAGAATAGCAAAATCAGGACAATGAGTTTTTAGCATCTTGATTCTGCTTACTACTGGAAACTTCATGATATGAAAAACATATACTAAACATATTCTCATTCAATGGTCTAACTTCGAAATATAAGTATCTATTGATTCTTTCTCATGCGATTGAAAATTGCTTGTATCCAAATTTTTGAAACTCAGGTATTCCATTAAAAGTTTCTGGGAATGACTTTTTTTTCTAGACTCTCGAAGTTTTTCTGTGGCTTTCATTGTCATCGAAGAGGAGGGTGTGGGTATGAGTGTGAGTGTGAGCATCGTTTAAGAGATGATAGACACCCACACCCACACCCTTCTACATTCTTTTTTAATGAGACGAGTTTTCTATGATTATTCTTAAAAGCATTCGATTAAATTTCCATGAAATTTCTCTTATAGCCACTTTATTTGAATTTCCTGAAAAGCGGAATTTACCATTGCATGGGCACCACAAAAAGTCCAGCACAGTCCACACACATCAAATCCAATATCGATCAAGATAGCTTTCAGTAATTCTGTGAAAAGCTGAGTTATGACTATAGTGATTTAAATTAATTAAATCAGACCTTACACTTCAACGTACAGACAAAAGCTCTGTTTTTCATATTAGCCATTCATATGTTAATCACATGAAAGCATAAGACTATCTTTCAAAAACCACGTGTTTATATAGAATTATTATCTAATTGCTGGGAAGAAGAGCTCCGAATGGGATGGAACAATCCGATCCCATGAGACGAAATTTTTTTTAGTTAGGAATGATGGGATGGGGCGATTTTGTGGTCGTATGGGAGTTTTTCTTCTCTTTATTATGAAAAAATCCAATCTTTTTTGGTTGAAATATGGCTTCAGCCAGTACTTTATACCAGTACTGAATAATAGAATTTACTATATTCTGATTGTTGATCTTATTCCTTCAAAACAAATACTTTCGTTACTGGTTTTTTCTACTATTTTTCATAAAAAAAATGTTTCAATCTATTTTCCAGGCGCATAAAAAGACCTAAAACTGTATTGACAAAGTTCTATATTCAATAATAGCGTATATTCTTAAAAGACTGTCGCGTAGCTACTGATTGCATGAATAAAAAAACACTTTAACGAAAGAGCTTCTTAAATCTAAAAGGCAGATTTTTTTTATTAAGTCTAAAATGATTTTATAAAAATCAGGATCCATTCGAATATACGTATATATGATTAGTATACAAAATTTAATATCAAATAAACAACTGGTCTAAACCTACACGTATGGACAGAGCTACGGTAATTGAATGAAGAAGCCACAGAAATCGGCTCTAAATTTTCAGAAAGTCTTTTTATAATATGATTTGTCCCATGGGATCCCATGGGACGAATTCTTCTTCCCATCCCATTCCATTCGGAGCTCTGCTGAGAAGAAATATTTTTTAAAGTAACACATCTTTTGAATGATCTTCATTCAAAATAAAACAAGTTACACAATGACAACATAGAATGATGATGTCTGATAATGTCATAAACAAAGAATACCATTGTGACTTATTATTTCACCGATAAATGGTCCAACAGTTGCTATATCAAATCTTCTCAATAGAATTATTCAACCATCATTCAATGAACATGTCCAGTCCATTTGTTTTTTTACATTTGACATCGTTGATCTATCTATGATGTTACTCCAAGATTAATCGAATTGTTGTATGAAAATGATTTCATTAGTTTCAATTCGTAAATTAGCCCGTATGATTCTTACCGACAAGGTGTGTATGCTAGTGTTGTCTTTTCTAACACCAACGTCAATACTCACACCCATAAATTGTAGCACTATTCGGCTCACAGTACTTTCTACTTGAGAGTTTGTATTGTGACAGTTTTAACAAGTATTTCATGATTACAAATTGAAGTATTTTACTTTGGTTAGAATAGCATCATGTCGTCTCCTATTTGAAAATTGAATAGAACGTAGAAAGAAACAGAATGTAAAGAGCTATGCTTATACTTGCGGAAGTAATTCTTTTTTTTTCGCTTGAAATTTTTCTCTTATACATATACACAGAACCAGCATATAATTAGTTTCTTAATAAATCAACGCAGAGAATCACGATGAATCATTCTGCTTTCAGCCTGCAATCCTTAATAGTCATATAAAAAGATTCATTTCAAACATTAAGAATGCATATAAAAAACTAACGACAGCCATAACAGTATATTAACACGTACGTAAACGAATCAGTTTTTCAGGAAGAAATGTTTCAGGTAATGGAAGTCGTTCGAACAAAATTCTTTTCCTAAATAATTCGCAGTAATGATTGCATCAAGTTATGATTGTAAAACTCTTCATTAAATGATTAATTCGTCTATATCATATAGTTCATAATTTCTAATAGCGTCATATTCATTGCAATTTTTCAGATAGCTATTGAATAAGTGTCTTTACGGAAGGTGTCTATCACATGTACGGCGAACGAGCTTGGCAATCACAACTACGACAGGTAAAGAAAGTAGAATCCTTTAAGAAATGAACATTTTCTTATGAGAGATTTGTATCACGACTGATTGATATAGATTTCTTTGAGATAAAATGAAAAAGTAAATACAGTCGAAGTATTCATCATAATAGTAAACATATAATGGCACGTTTCTCAATCAATATAAACAGCTTTAAGAAGGTTTCTATAAAAAAATATTAATAAAACTTGTTGTTCTCTGTTTATCATTCGGCCTTATTGATTATTCAATCAGCCTGAATAGCATCACGTATAATATACATTCTACTGAATAGGAAAAGTGCAATCCAGCCTTACGACGCAAGTCGTTGTCACAACCAGATATGCGAACCAATCATGCTACAGCAGAATTAGACAATGTTAATCGGCAACTTCAATTAATAGTCGAACTGATTGTACCTGTGAAACAAGCCAAACGTAACTTATGGCGTCTGGTAATCAATGGAGAATCTAAGAATTCACTTACCGCCTCTGTGTTTGGTTATTGTGATATTTATAATGATTTATATTCAACGATAACTTCAGGACCAAATGACAATTTAGTTGGCTATTTTGTCCAGTTGGACCGACTGAATGATGCTATTATGTATTTTAAACGCATAGCTGTCGTCGATGAGCAAAAACGTTTAATCGCTTTATATGGTATTGGACTACAAAAACTTATCGAAGCATGTGACGAAGTTATCATGCGATATACTAAATCAATATTACCCGATGAATTGCTTGAATTATGCCGGTCAACATCATTAATATCAATGAATACTGAAAACATGCAAAGTTAGAGAATTTGAAAACCATATTCTAGAAAACTATATTTCATTACAGTGTCCGAACTAGGTATATTTCGCATTATCTTCGATTGGTTTGAAGAGCATGGATTTCAACAGTGTCTTATTAATTCTTATGCTTCGAAGAGAGGCACCATGAGCTGCACTTCTCTTAAATTGTATGTATTCTTATATTCTACAGTTACATATTTTCCTTGTTTAAGGCTAGCTGAACACCTACAACGAAATTGTACGCGACGTGCATCGGTCTGTATGATTAGCATTCATTCTCATGCATCTTCACGTCGAGCTTCATACTGTTCGGACTTATTACGAGGAAAACTCAAAACAACAATCCAGTAAATTTATGTATTTTTTTAAAATATTTTATGTAGTTTCTTTTTGCGTTATTTTCATTAGTGGAATAGGAAATCGTTTTGCGCGTTCACCTGTGTTCGATGGTAAAAGCTCTCCATCGAAAAATACCTTAGCGTTACCGGAAATGGGAGCATACAATGATCATGCTGACAATAATTTATCGTCATCAGGACATTTTAGCAGTGATCTGGAAACAAACAATTATAAGTTTTTACTCGATGCTTTTGTTATACTTCTATCACGCGATTTGGACTTGCTTTTCTATACTTTTTCAAATGAATTAAAATCATTAGTCTTCATCAAATTAGCCGAATTACCACTGGCATATATTTACGAAGAGGCACAAGAGTTATGTAAAGCTATCGAGCAATTACCGCATAAAATCGACAGCGGAAAATTTGCTTTTTACGGTCTTCTATCAATTATTCAATGGTTTCGTAAATCTAAAGCTGTTTTTATCAAACTCTACCAAGTGAGATAAACTATTGAGTAAATAGTATCGGTATATCTGGATCAAATATAATTGACTACAAGTCAACTATATTTTGATTCATCTATAAAGAAAATGAACATGAGCGGTGTTCTTGAACATTAACATAGGACCTTTTCTCTCGTTTAGGAAAATGATCTAGCACCTGAATATCAATTCGATAGCGCACTCTCCGCCATATTCGAACATTCAGTAAGCGATTCATTCGGCATTTCATTATTCTGATATACTTGTAGATCAATGAATGCCTACGCATGATATTGGAAGAGGTTCGAAACGATTCATCAGAACTAAGTCAAGGTGGCCGTGTACATCCATTAACGTTAAATGTATTAAGTTTTATGGAAGGGCTTCGTGACTACGAAGAGATAATTAATACTATCAAATTCAGTAATGACGAAAAAAAACCAAGTAAAATATATTTCTTTATATTTTATATACACTGATTTTGAGTTTTAATTCATGCCTGGTATTGTTTTATTGTCTCTAGAGAAATGTCATCTCAATTTGAGAAGTTTCTTTAGTAAGTGTTGAATTTTTTCTATTTCGCATTGTCTCTTCACACATATTTCAGCCGATTTAATTCAAACACTTCGCGCGACTATTTCGACAAAGATAGAAATGTATATTCCACATAACGATAAAACTACACGAGCAATATTCCTTCTTAATAATACCAATTATCTTCTCAACCGACTACAAAGGTAGCAGGATAATCTGCTTTATCTAATTCTATCCTCGTTTTATCTATTATTTAGTTCGTCTTTGTTGATGATGATTAACACAATGGAACCAAGTCTCAAATCACAATTAGAAGACAGTATGCAAACAAATGTAAAGATGTTTTTGAAATGGTATAATATGCTAAGTATTTTTCTAAACGGACACTTTTCAATTAATAAAGAGCACAGAATTTCAAGAATTTTTATCATCATATTCAAGGTCGAACTAGATAGATTAGACTTTAAGTTTTCATTTCAACTGAAAATTGTCAAACGTTCATGAAAGCAAACACAAGTTTTCTAATTTAGCAATAAGAAGAGAAAGTGTCTTTGTTTATTACAAAAACTACTCATAAATGTATACTTCTTGAAGATCAGTAATATATATATATATGCATAGAAATAAAATATCTCATCGTGTTCTTCTCTATTCAGTTATACACCTCTCAGAATGGCTATTCAAGAAATGTTAAACTATGACAACATGAATCATCTCTCAAGCGGTCTAGTTAGTTAATTTTGATCTTTATTCTTTTAATTATTATTATTCTTATTTAGCTGAATGAATGTGATCGAAATAAATTGAAAGCAAGTTTTTCAACGGTGAATACAGCTATCGATACTATTCGTCAACAAAATCAAGAATATATTATCGATGATGTTCAGTTACGTAATCATCTGCGAACTGAAAGTAAAAAAAATGTTTTGGACATGTTCAAAACATATTATACAAAATTTGCACACAAAAATTTTTCACAAAAACCAGAAAAGTATATACGATACAATCCTTCAATTTTCGAATCTATTATTGACAATTTTTTCGAATAATAATATGTGACTTTAAACATGTGAGTCTTTTTGGACAAGAACAAATATATATTGATTAACAAACAAACATATTCTCAATCTAGTTTTTCTTTGCAGAGTTTTTTAAAACAAATAAAAAGTATATCAGAGAAATAGGCAACGTTTTTCGAAAAAAAACTCGATCTGGTATACATCCATTTCTTTTGCCTTGTTACATTGTGTCATTGTCAGTGTTTCGAGTAGCTCATCCTTTTTAGCGACTTGAAACACAACAAACATAACTAATTCCAATAAAGTCTTTTAATTTCTTATAAAAGACAACCAATCGTTGGCATAGAAGATATAGTCAATAGTTGAAAAATTATTAATTTACCTGGTTGCTCAAAAATAATTTACTAGTACGACAAATTTTAGAAAACGTATTGGAACTAGTGATTGATTGAGTTACAAATTGATTATTATTAGATACTTTTCGGTGCATACGACGAATATTCCATCATGAAAAATTACAAGAATTTTAAATAGTAAAGATTCGAAAAAATGAATATACATATATATTTCTGTCTCATTTTGCACGTAAATTTCATGAATGATATATTATTATTCACCAACAAAATCAGTAAATCATATTGAAATTGAAGATTGTTTTTAAATTTCTCTAAAATTGCTTCGATCAGCTAACACTCAAAACTTTGCAAAGCAAAGAAAAACTCAAATACAACAAGCTTCATTGAGTAACGCCATCTACTTAAAAAAAAAGTATTTTTCTTTCATGCTTCTCTGCAATTGGAGCTGCTATATATCTATGTTTTGTTTGCCGAAGTAAAGTATCATGTATTTCTATCGCTACTCAGATAAAACAAGTATACTTGTAACTGCCATAAATTGTCGTCTTTTGGCAAATTGTATGGCTTCATATACGAGCGTATTTCTCTATATTGTATGCGAAGAAATATGATCGTAATATGAAGTCATTTAATATACCAAAAGATGAGAATTTATGATGAAATATGGAGTGTATGACAATTTCATCTACTTCCTCTTGAGCACTTCAGTGTGTATCGAATAATTAATTATTTTATTCATATTTTGGTGTTGATAGCCTGACTGTTAAAAAGATAGTTTTATGTTGAAAAGCAATGAACAGTAGAATATGAATCGATTTGAAATAACCTATGAGCAAGCAATCAGGTCCTTGGTAGTCATTTAATAAACAATTCACTTCGAAAATAACTCTGATTATTTTTGTTACTGAAATATGAATTGATCATCTATAAATGCTTAATTTTAGATAAAAATATTCAAATTTCAGTGAATTGATGCAAGTAAAATTTGAACAACCGAAATAATTTAATAAAATGAGTACATTTGTAACTCAATTTCTCGACGGTCATATCGTCGTTCATATGAATCAGTTCAGTTACATCGTAGACACTGGCTCTCCAGTTTCATTTGGACAAGGAACAACCCTTGTCATTAATGGAAAAAACTTCTTGATAAACAGTACTGGTCCGAATGGATTTACAGTCAATTCAATTAACGATCTCAGTGGGCTTAAAGTAGACGGCCTAATTGGTATGGATATTCTAGCTCATTTCGATATTCGATTTACTCGAAATCAAATAACTTTTTCTGATATACCTATCTTGCATGCAGATACAGCAATCAAATTACCTATTATAGAAACTATGATGGGCGTACCGATTATAAAATTGAATATCGGACAGGAAGATCAAAGAGTTTTTTTCGATACTGGTGCAAAGCTGTCTTATTTGAGCGACGAACTTCTTGTCGGTAATTCATTTGGTGAGATGGACGATTTTTATCCTACGATAGGCACTTATAAAACAAATGTTTATAAAATTGATGTCGACATCAATGGAAAAGTAGAAACATTGACATTTGGTTCATTACCAGCATCACTTAAAATGTTATTAGTGTTGGGTCAAGCCAAAGGAATCATTGGAAGTGAATTATTGAATAAATATTCTATAATTCTTTCTAATTCGAGCAGGATCTTGCTGCTGGAACCGTCTAATAAAGAAGAACCATTCGATCAGCATCAGAATTCAAATAGTGGAAATTCCCAATCTAAAAACAAATCAATTTTAGTACCAGAACTGAGTTTTGACTAATTTTTATGTCCTTCAATGAGGAACTTTAATTTGATTATTAGTTACATCAGACTGAAGTTTTTTTACCTTAATATTGAATTTAATCTTAATATGAAATTCGCAATAATATTTTCTGAATAAGTTATGAAAGGAGAAAGAGAATCATGTGGCTATTTTCCATCCTAAATCGTTCTTTTATCATAATCTTATGATTTCTTTACGTTTTATAACACCATTCTTAAAGTATACTTAAGTATCTATGTGTCGCAGACTGAGCTTTTGTCAAAATACGAATAAGAAAGAATGAAGAGAATAAAAAAAAACAGAATAAACAACATCTATAACGTGCGTTTTTTCAAATGTAGTCTGATAAAAGTAAGAACTATGGCATTTCCATGATACCGCCCATGAATGAACCATGAACCTAGATCTTCCCTGCGAAACGCTTTGTTCAAGCAGTTACAATGTGGCCTGTGTAAACACAAAAACTTTCTATGTCTGCAAAAGAAAATTGCATAACTCTCATAGACAATATCTGAACATATGCAATGCTCAGTGTCAAATGAATTTCAAACGATATTATTGACATAAATCAAAATTTGTTGATGATAAATCCCAAGCCTTCTGCTTAGTCATCAGGTGAAGCCTGCAAACCTAGTACCATCGAAGTCCCATGCAGATACCGAAAATAGAGAATATATTTGTCTTATTTTGTAAAATCGTGGAATAGAAACTAATGGTTGACACACAAACTGATTTTTTTACGTAAATAACTTTCTCATCTAGAAAAAAAAAATACGCTAACAACAGACAAAGACCTGACAAACAAACGGCACTTGACTATTTCTATGCACATTTTCTTTATTATATGATTGTACAATCATCGTCATCGACATGCATTCGACGATTTTTATTAATAAAACAATTCTGGCGGAGCCAATACAAGCTGCTCGTTCACTATTTTCTTCGTCGATTCTCTTCCACAGGCAGTCTTTCTTCCTCTCTCTTGTAGTAACAATCAATTCTAGAAGTTTTTTTCTTCAGTGATTCATACTATTTGAAAAAAAAAACATCAACAACATGATTTTGTCCAATGGCTATAGGATCACTTTTTTCTGTAAAATATATTATTGTTAGCAAAAACTCGATGACTTCGCAGTATGATTTTACCTATTATGAAAAAAGAATAGCATAAACAAACGGATGCGTCTATTCATTGATTTGTAGAAATCTGGAAGCTATTATGCATGATCTTGAGAAATTGATTTCAACAATGCTACATAAAGTTCCAACGAGTGACGCAACTAGGGTTTCATTGCTAATTAGTGAGATGTCCTATACCCAGTCCGGCAAAACCCCTACAAAAATGCGTTAAGATGCGTAAAATGCTTTTAGACTCTCACGTTTTAACCCATTCGCACGACAAATTTACGAATTTTACTGCGTTCAAAGACAGACGAGAGTATTAACTCAGTAAGACCAGGTAAGAATCACTGATTTGAATCAGAATAGAAGAATAAATAGGTTATACATGAAAATTGATAATATTTCATTCCATTGTTTCTTCTTGCTCATTATGCAATATACTTCGCATATTGTGCATTAGTCAATATTTTCAACCATTCACATGATTTGTTGACTTTTTTTTTGCAATGAATCATAAGAAAACTTTACAACATATTCAAAATTATACTTTCTTATCAGGTAAGCGAATGTAAATGCATATTTGATGATAGTGCCATTAAAAAGACGCATTTTTATTAGTATTGTTTTTGTCTGATACAAATTGGCAATGTGTTTGAAGGTACTATGAGTCATGATCGTTTTAGAATAATTCAATATATTGAGTACCGTGGCTCTGAATAATTTAGATATTGTCAAGGGTTATTGTTAGAAAATAGTTCCAACTAATAATAGTTTATTTTAATGATTCAAGCGTTTATATATATATGTTGAAATGTATTTTTTTTCTCTTCAGTTCTACTCTATTCATTTATGTTATGTCTGTTCTCTTTCTTATCTGCTTAGTTGAGTCCATTTTGATTGTTTTCATAGTTTTCGAAAACACGAAGTTGAATAGACAAAATATGTATGTTAGAAAGTAGCATTTAAGTTATTATTCAAAATTTATTGTGTTTAACTGACATCCTTACTAAGGCAATACATTATTTGTAAAAATATAAAAATAATTCCATCAAATTTATTTTTTACTCTTTTTTCGTTATATTGTTATCTTAAACATGTAAAAGAAAATACGTCTACGCCTATTTAAGCATTAAGCTTGATAAGGATGCATTAATTTCAATGACTGATACTAAGTGTAGGACTAATGTTTTTCTCATCATAACAAAAAAAAAGAATAGAATATAAATTTGATAAGCATATTTTAACATGTTGTTTAGTACCGCATTTGCTTTATAATGGTATCGATTGAGTATAGTATATTTTGGATGATAGTTCAGATGTTCCAAATATATATTTTCTACGTCTATTCAACTTTATACATTCGAAAAATACGAAAGACTCCAAATGGAATTGAATCTATGACACAATCTTTATCTATGGTACTTTCACAGAATATGCAATAGTTAAATAAGCTTCTTACATGTAGAATAATTTTTAACATATATTTTTACATATAAGTAAACCTATGGCTTTTAAATTAAGTTTATTCTTCGAAGGAATAATCATATTCGATAGATCTAGAGTGTTTGGACATCTAAATTCTACTTCAAATAACTCAGCCTTATGGAAGATGATCTTGTTCTTGCAATGAATGCACTCAATTCAAAAATCAAACGCATGAAAACACGTTAAATTTCTCGAACAGAATTGTAAAAAGCACATGTTTCTATGATTTTATTTTCGTTGCAATTCTGACAAGTTTTTATGAGTTGCTTTTAATTTTTTAGCTGGTTGCGTATTAGAGTTTTAGTTTCTTAGGAATGGATCCTTTGGTAGTATGGAAATATGAGTTGCTTTCGTAATTCCATATTTCAGTACCACAAAACTTGACCAAAAAATAATCAATGATGAAGAATCCGAATTTGAAGCCAAAGTTCGACTTTATTAATATGTTTGTTATTGATAATTATTAATTTTTGAATATTTTTCATTAAAGTTGTGCTTCCTGTATCCTTATAGTTAATCAATTCTAGTGCCATACCCAATGTATGCTGTGCAAAGATTTATGATAAATATTAAAAATTATGGATTAATAATAAAAATATTAATCAAATCGAAATATAACTTCGGATTTGAATTCCTCACCAATGGTTACCTTTTAGTAAAGTTTTGTGGTATTTGAGTATTAGGTTACGTGAGTGTTCTTCCAAAGATCTCATTCCTTTAAAAGAAAATTGTCATAGAGTTCGAAGAGTTCATTTACTAACCTCACTGTAAGGCCACTATTGTTATATGATAAAATCTATGAACGTTTTTTATTCTAGATGACATGTCGCCCTCTGATCATCTAACTAAGTGAGCCTTGTCTCAAATATGAGTAATTAGTTCAAATTTTCTCTTTTTTAAATCCAATAGAAACAAGTCGAATGGAATGTTTGCTAGCAACAATGTAGGATCCACATTTACATGTGATTGCGGACAAGAATATAATAATCAGATAGCTTTGGATGAACATAAGGTTAACAAATATTGAAGATCACTGATAAAAAAAAATATAATGATTTCAGAAAACGAACTGTCAAAAACGAGGATTTTTCTGTCAATTATGTAATGAAAAGATACCAACCTCCCATGTCATGGGTGTTCATCTAATTCCATGCGGTAATAAGACTATGAAATGTTTCAAATGTCAAAAATATATTCGACGAAGAGTCTATGCATATCATGTGCATAACAATTGTATGGAGCTGGATGAAACTCATACAAGTAGTAGTAGTTCTAACAAAGATAATTCAAGATTTCATCGACGTAAGATTGAATTTAATTTTTTATATAAATCTATATATTAATTATTTTCGCTTTTAGAAGACCATTCATCAAATAACACAGTAAGTACATGTGATAACTGATGAGGTGAAGAAAAAATGTCATCGAATTTGAATTGTAAAATTCTCTCTCAATGTTTAAAAAAGCATGAAAGACGAATAATTCTTAAACAATCTCAGATGGATTATCATCATGATAAACTCATTGATTCAAATGTATATTTTTAGGGCATAAGACGAACTGGATCAGATTCTTTAGAACAAAATGACTACGTCATTTGAAAGATTAGGATTAAATTCAAATGCAGATTTGGTCAACACTTCAACGAACATGACAGTCCAGACTAAAGAGAGCACAATTTCATCTTTACACGGCAAAACTTCACAAATCCAAGAAAATTTATGCAAGGATTATTATTCGACAGAATTAAATCACATTTCAGAAAAACTTCAATTCAATATTATTCTCATGGGTTCACCACGTGTTGGCAAAAATCAACTCATTAATGCAATATGTAACGGTGAGAATAAAGCTGAAATCAGTGCTAGTTTGAATTCATGTACCAAAGATGTCACATGTTACTTTTTGGAAGACAATCAACAACAAATGCCTGGTGTAAAACCATTTCGAGTTAATTTTTATGATACACCAGGGATCGAATCATGGACTGATCAAGGTGGAACAACAGCTATGCGTAAATTTATTGAAGAGAAAGATTCTGTTTGTGTTATCTACTGTGCTGCGCCTGGAACATTCGCTGACTTAGCACAAATTCGTCCGATATTAAAATTTTGTCAAGAAAAAAAATATTTTGAGCTTTCGTCTGCACGAATATGTGGTCGAATGCCTTTCGAAAAGAAGTCATTCGTGAGTTTGAAAAAGAATTAGCCAGCTTTGGTGATAAAACTGAAAAACTCTTTGATCAATTACATTCCTCAACTACTCATAAAGTAACAATTTTCGGTAATAATGCATTTTGTACCATGGTCAATTCAATCGAATATTACGATCCCGAATATTCACTTGAGAGAAAACCGGTACAATGTATTGACAAACTCATTCATTGTATAATGGAGACACTCGATAATGAAAAATTACTTGGCTGGTGTAGTGCTGTACTATACCGTCGTACTTATTGGGAAAAGTTTAGTCAGAATCTTAGTGGTTTTGTTTCACTTCGCATGGAAAATATACAAAATATTACCAGTGAATCAATCCAACCAATTGCGGTAAATGTGGTAATGTATATTTTCAACATGATCCGAAAACGTCCGGTGTAATTGTGTGCTTTCATTCTTTTTTGACTTGTTTTTCATGATTATGTAATAAAGGTCTTTTTGTTTTGTTTTTCTAGATAATTATTTTCACTATTAACTATGGTAAAGCAGTTTAATATAGCAGTTTGTGGTTCGACTTGTGTTGGCAAAAGTACTCTTGTTAATGCTTTATGTGGAAAAGAAGTAGCCAAAACGAGTAGCAGTTTATGTTCAATAACTAATGAAATAAAAAAGTATGTGTTGAATCGAACTTGTCAATCAGTTAATGAAGCTTCAAGTTCAACTGAATATACGATTACAGTTTGGGACACGCCGGGTATTGAATCTTGGACTATAGATAATGTTCAAAAACATTTTACGCAAATTATGGTTGAAAGTACGCCACTTTGTATGATTTATTGTGCGTCTCCAGGTTCGTTTGCTCGGCTCAATCAATTAAAATGGCTTGTCGAAACATGTATTAAATCCAATATTTTTTGTGCTCTTGTCTGTACGAACAAGTACAGTGGAGGAAGTAAACAACGTGCTGAAGTATTAAAGGATTTTCATTCACTTCTTACTAGTTATCACGCTATGACACGTGAAGAAGCCAATATAAAATATTATGGAAATGTTGCTTTGTGTACATCAGTGAATAGTATTATTTACGAAGATATGGATTATGGAGTTAGAAAAGACGTTGAAGGTATTAACGAACTTATTTTTGCCATCATAACATCGTTGAAAGATGATAAACTCGTCGCTTGGTGTTACACTATTGCTGAAAATGAATCATTCTGGTTGACGATGCGTGATAAAGTTGTAGAATTATTCAATATATCTCGACCTATTCTAGAAGAACTTCTTCAAAAACATGGCAAAGATATGGCAAAATTTATAATACCATTGGTGATGAATGCAGTTTTTAAGAAGTTATGAACTATAGTGATCTATATTCGTTTGTTACATCATTTTGATTTTTTTCTTGCTTATTTTAATGCATCAATCCGTGCCGCTCTTGTATATGTTAAAAATAATTCTCTTAAATTCGTTTGTCGTATGAAGTTAAATACCGAAAAATGCTGATTGATCAGACCAAGTTCAGTTAAGAGATACAATCACCTTGTCGAGATCCTTCCATTTTTTCTCTCTAAATATATTGATTTTCAAATTCATGTTCACTATAAAACTTCAGGTGACAATTTTACTGTTTCTTTTGATACATACTGAAGTGTTTCCTGACTTGACAGCTATTGTTCGCCGCGTTGTGGGCGAACTGAAATTCGAGTGAAGAGCTAAAAAAAAATTTTACTATTAATCATGGATACTGTCCATGGTTCACTGCTCTATAAAGAAGTATGACTGAAAACCTATTGAGAGTGACGAGTGTGGATGAAGAGAAGATGTGGCATCGTTCTTATATCCACCGTCACTATATTTATCCATCATCCAAACAGGCACTTGGAGAACAAGAAAATATTAACTCATGTCGAATTGCTTAAGTATGAGCTCATTGCGGATGATCAGAAAATCCAATATTTTCTTTCGCTATTATCAGAGAGAGAGACACATATTGAATATTTTATTAATTTCTTTTTTTTTCTGTATATAATTTCTTGCATTATATTCGTAATTAGCTTCTAGACAATAAAGGCTCATGACAGAAAATTTTTCTCAATCGAACATCCTTATTTGCGGTTCGTCTCGTGTCGGAAAGAGTACTCTTATCAATGCTATCTGTCAAAAAGAACTTTCAAAATCGAATGCAAGTTTAAATTCTCGTACAAAAAGTATCGATCGATATTCATCTCGAAGCGTAGTCGGTGACATAACTCATGAGACCACTTTCTGGGATACACCAGGCATCGAATCTTGGAATGAGAATGATGGTCGTACTTATATGACATCATTAATCGAAAAAACTCACCCATTATGTATGATCTATTGTGCATCACCTGGTTCGTTCGCCGTATTAGATCATGTTACTTGGATGGTCTCTGAATGTCATCAGAAAAATACTTTCTGTGCACTTCTCTGTACAAATATGTGGAGTGGCCGTAATCGACAAAGTGTCGTGGATGAATTTTGTAAATTATTGAATACTGTTCATCCACAAATCAAGCCAACCAAAGAAGATGGTATCATTTATTACGATCGAGTTGCTCTTGTTACAATGGTGAGTAGTACAAAGTACGTTGATGAAGACTTCGGAATTACGAAACCACCATCTGGCGTCAATGAACTCATTTTTGGTATTGCCAAATGTCTTGAGCGAGATTTTATGATTGCATGGTTTCGAACAGTATCTGAACATCAATCATTTTGGACGATAATGTCCTCAAAATTATGCGATCTATTCAAAGTATCATATGAAAAATTCAATACTTTATATCAACATGCAGGAAATTTTCTCGATTTATTATTTGATTTTTCTGAATTTTATGACGATAAAACAACTGTACCTTTGCAATCTAGCGTACACATGGATCAAAATCATGCTGCATCATTGCCACAAATACCTATAGTGAATTTGGAAAATTGAATTTATACATCAGAATTTTTTCATTTTCTTTCGTTGTAGAATGAATCTTTATTTTTCGATGCTGAAATGGTCGAAATGCCGAGTTCTTCAAGCACGAAGCGCTAAGTATTTACATTGAAATCAAAAGGTACCAAGTACGCTCTTATGATGAATTCTCTAGATATCTTTGTGTAGATATGATAGTACGATTCAAAGATGCATTGACACAATTTGGTGCCAGTAAAATACAATACTGTCAATCTGACGAAACAGATAAAGAAAAGCTTCTAATTAAAATTGAGTAAGTAAAAGTTTGATGGTTATCATTCAAGTTACAAAAAAGTGTTTCACTCCACACTAAGGAAACAACTTCTGAGATAAGTCTGAAGATGATCTTAGAAATCTTTAGATTATTAGTAAAATGCATTTGCCTATATTCAGACACATAGAGTCTATGGTACATTTTTTGGATAGCAAATGTTTGATGTTTTTTACTCATTCTTTATCAGTGTAATTCTCAGTTCAATGTGAAATTTTTCGAATAGATCCATCAAATCTGTTTGATGAATACATAAATATTCTTTGAAACCGAATTTATAGAAAGAAATATAGGAATAATTTGAATTGACTATAGGAGTAGCATGTCATCAATTAGGATTGATACAATTCCACGCAGTCATGTGTGATCCTTTCGACAAAGCAATACAAACATAAATGCAAAATAGTTGTAAAATTTCCTTGCTATATCAATGTTCTGAAATTATCTAAAAATGGTAGCATTTGTACTAAGACTTGATACAAACATACTGATATATCAACTTTTAATAGCCTGAATGTGGAAAGATCAAGTCGGATAGAAGTTATTGAGGAAATTTTTTCTTATGATTTTTATGTCTTATTTATTAGGTTTCAAGATGACAAATGTTTGAAAGCAATATACGATTTTTGGCAAGTAATAACTCAAGTTGAAGTTGACTGTAAAGTCGTGGATGACTCGTGTATTGACTCAAAGGAAACCATTTTGTAATCTACTAGAGCTTGGGAGTCAATTACAATGTTGAAAAACAACTGACAATGACTCATTGTTGTATTTGTGTACTCATATTCTAATGCTTCCATTATAATGTACATTTGTGATGTGAAGCAAACTCGAAAATACTTTTCAATGAGACATAATGAGATCATTCTTTTTGAATAAAATTTGATTATGCATCGAATGAATTATGATAAGCGATAATAAATTTGCCAGATATTGAGGAAGATTGTTGCATGATCAACATTCATCTCAAATGTTCATCAAACTTTAACATTAACTATTACCAAAACAATTGTATGTCGTACTTACGAACCACTCTATCTAAGTTACCAATTATGCACAAACAATATGCTTCATTGAATGTGCCAAATTTTATTCAATCTAACATATGTGATAGAGACAAATTATTTATAACTTTTGACATAAGTGAGGTTTAAGAAATATTGAAGCATTAATGTTTTTCTTAAAGTCTTGAAAATACAAAGTCCGAAAGGTGCAGTTAATGTGGTCTGGATATCTCACGACGACTAGATTAATCTTCATTAAACACTAAGAGTACGTTTAAATTTTGGATATCAGAAATAGTGTATGTTAAAAAGCATCATCGAACATTCATGTTTCCATGGTTCTTACAAAATGAAAGCTTTAAGAATTGCAGTCAGGAAATATAAAACAAAACACTGTGGCAGTAATTGAACTGCCCACCAGTCACAAAATTGAATGTTTCACAAGTTTCTTTTGTTACATCATATTAAATTAAAAATAGCTAGAATAGATCTATGAGGTCGTTCTTTGTGATGCACTACCTGTCAATCCTGAGACTCGAAATAAAATTTTTCGGATTCCTGAGAATTTAGACTTTTGTAGCACAAAATAGCTTATAATGTATAGTTTCAGTTGATGACGATTGCTGAAATGATATAGACTCGGTGCTTGATAAGAAATGTTGTAGAGAGAAAAAGCTAAAATATTACTTGTTTCTCCTGAACTATAAAGATGTACATTTACCTTGGTTTCTTGAGAGGCTAACTGTAAGATATCGAATCAAGATGATAACCTTCATGCTCTCCATTCAAAGCTATCTAGATAAAATGATATACAGGATAGTCCACCAAAAGTAACAGGACAGATAATTTTTTTCGATTTTTTTTTCTTTATACATCGACAGTCACATCTCATATTTAGGCCACATATACTAGGTGGTACCAGTCAGAGATAGGACATATGATCAACCTCTAGACGTATTAATTTGTTCCAAAGAATATAAATATGTCATAATTGCTCTTATGTGACTATATGAAATATTCGATGTTTTTCATGTTACATTCGATTCCATTAAATTTTGTATTCTTTTAGTCTAAACGAATTCAAAATCTGATACAGTCGAATTTGTTTCTCAGATTGGGATAAGTAGACACGAAGATGAAAATCGAATTTAACACAAAAAGCATCAAATCTCTCATATAGTCACATAAGAGCAATTAAGACATTTATATTCTTTGGAACAAATTAATACGTCTAGAGGTTGATCATATGTCCTATCTCTGACTGGTACCACCTAGTATATGTGGCATAAATATGAAATGTAACTGTCGATGTATAAAGAAAAAAAATCGAAAAAAATTATCTGTCCTGATACTTTTGGACCACCCTGTATGTGATATGCAGTTAAGTATTTGATGTTCAGGTGTGCGATTACATATCTCGTCAAACATCTGATTGTAACTCACTTAAATAGTCACTGAAAACTCGAATTTTCGTTAAAATATCTACACTTCAATATTTCTCAAAACTACTCGGGTCAGAATTTATAAACGATTTGTCTCTATCACACATGTTAAATTACACAAAATCTGCCACATTTGATTGCGTACTTTATCTGTGCATTGGTAGTGGGTTACAAAAGACTGGATCATGTTTTACAACTTGGATTAGCATCGAGAAACAAAATGGCATGTTTATAATCCATCTTTTAATGAAATATTTAATGTTCTTCTAGCTATTGTCTAAAATTCGCTGGCAAAGGTTATCAGTTATTTCTTTTTTTTTAAATTTTATCAGCGACTGCTGCATTGTTCCTTAAAACAAAGTACACAACACTATTGACTGTTTACATAGTAGATTGTTCTATTGTCGAACGATTGCATATTATTTTTTGTGTTTCTCATTCAAATCGAAAAAGAAATAAAAATGATATAGGAAACATTCTCTTGATTTTTTTCTATTGTAACAGCTATCTATACTTTATCTCTAGCTTATTATTATATATTTGTTCTAGATAAAAATGATTTTGTTGAAAATCTCTGACTAAGTTAAAAATTGACTCGTATGGCCTTTGACACACGTGCGAAAAATGACAGATAAGAATCAATTGAAAAAGGT